GCTGCTGCTGCGCACGCGAAGAGGACAAAACTTGACGGCAGTGAGCTGGAAGGTTGTAATTTTTCAGTTTGTATTTTACAGCTACTCTTTTTCTCTGTCGATTTCCACTTCTACTCGCATGCGATGCTCTGTCTTAGTTTACAGCTAGGGGATGAAAAATGCAGACTGCATCATCGTAAAATGTCTTCTTACACATGACACCTAAGTCCAATCCCTCTATTCTACTCTTTCGGCTGGGTATAAGTTCGGTTTCTGTTTACACAGCTAAGGGATGAAACACAGGCGTACTGCAACTGATGAAAAGATGTGCGGTGTTACTTGAGGAACTGCAAGTACTTTCCAGAAGAGATGCTGTGCTGTTCGTCAAGAGAAAGTGTGGCGAGAAAAATACCGGGCCGAATTATTTCGGTGGAATTGCAGAATTTTATGTGCCATGAAGCGCTACGCATTGACTTTGATTTGCAGGGACGTAATTGCTTTTTTATTGGTGGATCAAATGGATGTAAGCTTTTTGGCATTTTATTTTCCGCCAATCAAAATCACATTTTGCATCTAAAATTGAATGCGATTTCCACTGGGAGAGTGTGCACATTCAGTGGGGAAGAGAAGCGAGGGGTGAGGGGCGGGAGGGGAGGGGGGCAAGGGAATGTAAAAAATTGAAGAAATGGTGCGAAAATAGCTGTGCTCAGCTACAACTGATAATAAAGAATGCTTGGCATCGTACACATTATGATTTTATGATTTTGCTGAGGATTATGATAGAATTTTGACTTATTTTCGCAGGCCTTGTTTTTTACTTAGGCAATTAAATACAGTTTATTTCTCATTTTTTCACTTTTTATAATTATTTTTATTAACGCCAAATTATTTCACTCATAAATTAAATTTTAACATTTGGGTCGTAACATATAATTTTGTTTGCATTCTAGACATTTTGTTTTTATTTTTATTCTAAAATTTATTCTAAATATAATTTTACGAACATTTTATTCATATTCTAAAAATATTCTAAACTAAGCATAAACATTAGAAATCACTTATTTTACTCATATGCTGATTTAAATTTTACATATTTAATTGCATTTTTATTTTTTTTTCGCACTAGTTCATAGTCCGACTTTTAATTATGCAGCCAAAAGCCTGCTAGCTTACTAGCCAGTTCAGGTGTTCTCTTATTTCCGACTTGTTAATTGTTTGTATTTTCGTATTTTCTCAGCCCTAGCATTAAGGCCAGTCCTGGAATGAAATTCAGTTCGTCATGAATTCGTCCTTTTTTTTTTTGAATCTCGATTTTCAGCCGGGAAAAGCGCACTGTTTGCGGCGCTGAATATTGGCCTCGGAGGACGTGGAAGTCAGAATGAGCGTGGCTGTGCACTTCGACAGTATATCAAAGATGGACAAAAGTTGGCTTTTTTCCAGCTTTAATTAAGTTTTTAAATTTTTTTT